TCCTGCGAAGGTCAGTGCCCCTCGCCCGCCCCTCTCCCTGGACCAGCTCAGACCCCTGCCTCTCTCCCTGAACCCACAACCCCCTCCCACCCCCCTGCCCGCACGCCTGCCTCCCAAGCAACTCAGACCCAGTGGTAGCGGGCTGTCTCCTGCTTCGGCCGCCCCCGCCTCCTGCGAGTGACCCCGCCCGGGTTCTCTCCACAGCCACTGGACGGAGGTGCAGGTGAAGGGGACCTCACTCCCGCGGGCGCTGCACTGCTGGGACAGGAGCCTCCACGAGGGCCACAAGGGCAGCAAAGCCCCTCTGAAGGGCTGCCCCGTCCACCTGGTGGACAGCTGCTCCTGGCCCCACTGCAACCCCTCGTGCCCCACCATCCGCGACCAGTTCACCGGGCAGGAGATGAACGTGGCCCAGTTCCTCATGCACATGGGCTTCGACGTGCAGGCCCTGGCGCAGCAGCAGGGCCTGGAGCCCAGCACCTTCACCGCCCCTCTGCACCCCGGACGCTGCCTCCCCCTCCCCCACCCACAGTGGGGAGCCCGCGCACTGGACCCTCAGCCCCCGGCCCTCAGCCCAGCCTCTCCTGCCCTTTTGTATTATTTTATAAAGTGACTTTTTTATTACTTTAATTTTTTAAAAAGGAAAATAAGCAAGAAATATATGATGAATGATATTGTTTTGTAACATATATTTTTTAAATAATGAGATTAAAAAAGACAACAAAAGAGCTTTTCTCTGCGGACGTGTTTATTTGAACGGCAGTCGGCCCACTTTGCACCCCTCCCTGCCCGCCCCCCAACCCCTCCGCCAGGAACAGGGAGGGGGCTGGGGGGCGAGGCCCACACCCGACCTCACCTCCCATTCTAGACCCTCTCTGAGGAGGCCCTGCTCCCGCTCACCCGACGGCCGAGGCTCAGGGCCGAGGCCTCCACAGGGGACACAGCTGCCATTCCTGTTTCTTGGGCTGCTGAGGTGATGGGCAGGTGGTGCGCACGGCACGGCTTCACACAGGATGGTCTCGCGGGCACGGCTCAGCATTTGCACACTCAGGAAGGTGCCACCACCGGCTGTCTCCAAACATTATCACCCAGCCCAGCGGGTGAGGGCTCCATTCCCAGTGGGGGGCGTGCAGGAGGCAGCCAATCAATGATTCTCTCTCATTACTGATGTTCCTATCTCCCTCTCCCTTACTCTCTGAAATTAATTTTGTAAAAAATGAAATAAAAACAAATTATATATATATATACATATATAAACCCTAATATGCAAATAGACTGAACGGCAGAACAACCCAACAACCGAACAACCGGTC